TTAAAGTTCTCCCTTCCCAAGGGAAGATGTATCCACCAGGAAACATGAAATTGCACAGTAATTGGAAGCTACCACTCAACTCTGAACTAATGCTACTAAAACAATAGAAAAGATGAGATTTATTTTATTGGCTAACATGTTTGATATGATTACTACTCATTAAAGGCAGAATATTTCCACAATGCAAGACATTCTCTAGAGTATTATGTTATTGTTATTCTTACGTGCTGTTGAATCACCTGCAACTCATAGTGACCCCAAGTACAATCGCTCTGAATCTTGCCCTGATCTGAGCCAGTCTCATTGTCTCTAATACGTCTACCCCCATTACCCTAGTTACTGGGTCAATCCATCTCAACCAGAGTCTTCCTTTCCTGTGTTGTCCCTCCATCCTTCCAAGTATGCTGTCCTTCTCCAAAGATTAGTCCCTCCTGGCAACTTGCCCAAAGTATGTGAGATGGCACTTCAAAATCCTTGCCTCCAAGGAGCAACTTGTAAAATGGAAAATAATTATGAAATGCAAGCCAAAAGTGCATATGAGTGTTTTACCGCAGCATTATTCATATTAGACAAAAGAGGAAAGCAAATCAAGTATCTATTAATTGGAACTTCTTGGAACTTGGGTAACAAATTCTGGTGTACCCACACAATGACAATGAAATGATATTCAGCCCTGAAAAGGATGTCTTGATACTTGTTACAGTATTCATGAACTGTGAAAACATACCATGCTAAAGAGACTACTCATAAAGGAACACATACTATATGATTCATTCACATAAAATGTTCAGAATAGGAAACTATACACATATATGAAAGTAATGCTGAGGTCAATGATGGGGAAGGAGGAATAATAGCCAAAGAGTGTAAGATTTCTTTTTGAGATGATGAAAAGATTCCATAACTTACTGCTTTCAATATTGCACATATTTGTGAATATATTAAAATACACTGAATTGTATGCTTTAATTCCATGAATTACATAGTATGTGAATTGTATGTCTGTAATTCAGTTTAAACAAAAACCTAACAGCTACAACTACCCAAGAGAATCAGGGTGCTAATGTCAAAGACCTCAAGTGAAGAGACTGGGGTCAGGAGAGGACACACAGGGTCCCTGAGTCATACTCAACACCATGCACCAACAGCAACAGGGAGGAATCCAAATCAACTGAAACACTGCAGGCAAGGAGAATATGGTATCGGTACTGGAAGAAGGAAGTTAGGAGTATCAGATAGGATCCTACAACTTGCACTCAGCTGCATTTTTAAGCTAATATTTTAAGTCACATACACAGTCAGTGAAGAGCTATTATTTAAGCACCTCTTATGTACCACACATTGTACACAGCTGCGAATGAACAAAAGAACCTAAGTCCTCCCTTCAGATATTCAGATATTCTCCCTTCATTCATTATCCTCTGCAATTGTTGCCGAGTCAATTCCAGCTCACGGCACCCCTCTGTGTATAAGAATAAAACTGGTCCACGGGGCTTCCCAAGGGTGAAATTTTCAGAAGTCCACCAGACTTTTCTTCTGCAGTGTCACTGGATGGTTTCAAACTTCTAACCTTTGAGTTTCCAGCCAAGAGTCTGAAGCATTTGCACCATCCAGGAACTCCTTCAAGACCTAAGTGAATCAGATGAAGAGAGCAGCGACCACTCCAAACACTCACAGCATTCCTGCAACCTTGGAGGCAGACAACACATTTCTGAGCCTTGGTTTCCCTGTGTGCAATTAGAAGTCCAAAAAGACTTCTTCTACAAGGCTCTCTAAGCTTTACAATTAGTGTAAAGGGGACATGGGTACAAAATGCCTAAACTGTTACATGTAAATTTTATATAATATGAAAACTTTTAAAATTTTAAGATGGTAAAATTTTTAAATTAGACTAATTCCAAAAAAATGCATGTACTTTCCAATTCAAAAATCATTTCATTTCTCAAACAGAAAATACAACCCACATTAACTCACTCACTTCCATTGAGTCAGTTCTGACCCACAGTGACCCTTAATCAGGTTTGTGAAGTTATAAATCTTTACAGGAGACTGCCTACCTTTTTCTTAAAGTGCAATGGGATATTTGAACCACTGACCTTTTGACTGGTAGCACCATATATAATAATTTCATTGCACTACCACAGTTTCTTAAACCATATAAAAGAATTAACCCAAATCTCTGTCATACATGGAAATGGCCCAAATGTCCAAACACAAACAAATGGATTAAGAAGTTGTGGTACATACAACAGAATACTATGCAGCACGCAGGAGCAATGATTTTGTAAATTACGACCTAACTTGGGAGAGACTGGACAGCATTATGCACAGTGAACTCAGTCCCACAAGGACAAATACTGTATAAAACCATTATTGTAGAATGAGTATGAGGCTCCAGGGTGGGCAGTGAGGGGTGTAGAAACAGAGGGGTTAGGATGGTAGGGGGAGGGAGCGTGTTAATCAGGGTTGCACAATTTGATGAGTGGGGGAGTGAAGGAAATGGGAAGGATCTTTTGTGAAAAATAATGTATTCGAACTTTGTAAATAAATCAGTATAAAATAAAAAATTTTTAGAAAAATCTCTATTGTATCGAGTGAAAGAGCAATGATTTATAGTTAGTACCATCCAAAAGATCTACCACAGGACTTGAGGGTGAAAAAGCTTTCCATAAGTTAATTAATGCAACGAAAGCACCTGAGGAAACACTAATAAAAGTCCTAACCTGGACAGCATTTAAAAAATTCACAAATTCCATGAAATCAAATGCAAAACTGCATGCCTGTGGGCCATTTGGTGTAGAGGTCTTTGATTTTACCAGAGTTCCAAAAAGATTTATTACTCACAATGGTTTATTCATTCCTTATATATTAACTCTCCAAAGTACCGAAGAGCAATGGTGTCTCTCTGGAGACTAAGGTGTGTCTGATATAGGCCATGGTCTTTGCTATCACTTGTTATGCATCTGAGAGTTGGACAGTGACTAAGGAGGATAGAAAGAGAATTGATGCCTTTGAGCCCTGGTGCTGGAGAAGAGTATTGAGGGTATGTACCATTGACTGCCGAGAAAACAAACAGATTCTTCCTTGAAAGTGTTAAACCAGGATGCTCCTTGGAGGCAAGGATTCTGAAGCTCCGTCTAACATACTTTGGACATGTTGTAAGGTGGGGCTGGTCCTTGGAGAGGGACACCATGCTTGGTAGGGTGGAGGGACAGCGCAGGAGGGGAAGACCCTCTATGAGATGGATTGATTCAGTGACTGGGTAATCGGGATGGGTGTGTCAGAGACAGTACGATTGGCACAGGACAGAGCAGAGTTTAGGGGTGTTGTACACAGGGTCGCTAGGATTCGCAAGCGACTCGACAGCACATAACAACAACAATATATTAATTATCAACCATGGTTTAGGCTTAAAACGTAAACCATTTTAACCACATATTGAAAGCATCCGTTTTTTAGAGGATCGACTTTTCTGCATTCATAATACTAGAGCTGATGCATAATCTGTTCAGTCGTCACATTCTAAACTAGCACCAGAAAATTTGCAGCCATTTCATACACAATTCACTGGTAAAATAGGCTTAAAACTGCATTTTCATTGGCTTTGCAGAAAGTCCTTCACGATGAAAGCACTGATAAAGATAGAGAAAATATCACTTAAAAAAAATCTTTAGTGACTCATGCAGCCCAAACTGTAAATCGTCTCTGGCTCATCAACTTCTGTTCAGCACAGCTGGGTTGCTGTTTATTCTTAACAACAATAATGAAGCTATTGTCCTTAAAAAAAAAAAATTATGATACACGATTAAAAAAAAATTCTAAAACTGTTTTGAAAGCTTTTTTGTGGAGACTTTCTACAGTCTGAAAAAAGACCACTCCATATGGAGAACAAAAAAGTATAAAAATACTTTGAGGATAATAAAAACATACTTCTGGAAAAATACTCAAGAAACCTAACATGCAAGAACAAATTTTTCACTTGTGAAATCTTATAACTCTCTTGTTGTATTAAGCAGCATCAAGAGTTAATATTTATAGAACAGCTATTTAATATTTACAATAACATTATCTTTCAGTACCAAACCCTTCATATAAATACACATTGAAAGGAAAAGGGTTATTTCCCAAGACCAGGTATGCATATTTCTCAAGATCAGGTATGCATGGTATCAAATATTGAAATTATCAGTCATTTTCATTTAATAATGTAAAATATTTTCTGTAACATGATCAAGAAGGCTATTTCAAAATATTATTAACTTAAATTACTTAAAAAACCATTCATTCTAATACTTAAACTGGGCAATCAGTGATAGTGGCCAGGAGATGGCGCACTCTCATCTTCAAAGATTTCTGAGGTGGTTGAGCAATTTAATGTTCACTTTGATTTTAAAAAAGGCACTTTTTCCCACAAAAGACAAACGCAAATAAGACATTCATAAAATAACAAATTCAAGTCACCCCAAAGCTTTGCATATACCTGGTAATTTATAGTCAAATAAAATATTTTTAAAATATTTGAAATAGCTTTCTTTTCTCCTATGACAAGAAACATAAGAAAAAGTTGCAAAATAATAATTACATAGGATTATCTCAATTTTGCAAATCTTTTTTTCCTTTTTGGCTCACTTTATAGTATGTTAGATTGCTTTACCATTATAAAAGCATTTTTAAACTATATATTCCATTTCCCTATAAAATAAAAACAAGTATAATTTTTAAACTAGGAATTTTACAACAGATATTTCTAGAGGTAAAAAAATGTGTTAGTATAAAGCAAAAAGATTTCCTGATATAAGCTTTATTCAAGGCACATATTAAAATATGATTATTCAAAAGTTTCTCTTCACCCAATAAATGCTAAAAAGAATTGTTTACATCTAAATCTACACTATTGGTTTTAAGAAAACAGCAGTTTGTGGTCTAAGAATCCAATCTCAGGTTAATGAAGATTTGAGAGGTGTATGTATTTTTCTTAAAATACTCCAGAAAGTGATACATTAATGATTGTCCTGATTCAGTCTAGAATACAGTTCCCCACCAGTTACTGAATCTTTGCAGGGAAGGTAAGAAGCCTCCCTAATCATTCCCGAAAAGGAATAATCCAAACCTGGCCGGAAAGGTAAAGCAGGTACCAGCCCAGATGTTAGGTAGGGTGACATAAAACCAGAGAGCCCTCTTCCTGGAGAGGAATATGCCAGCCGTAAGGGACTGATACCTAATCTAGGACTTAAGCTGTAGAAACTTGAATCACCTCCATAGGAAGCTGAAGCAGTCTGAATGGGAGAGAAAGCAGACTTACTCCCTAGAGTTCCAAAACCAAGTCCAGCTAGACTAAAGCTAGAAGCTTTCTGAAAGGCTGTAAGTCCGGGTCCTCCTGAGTTTGCTAACATCCCAGTGTCAGACTTGTGCTCTTTTCCGTTTAAGACCTGTTCAATGGCTTGGACCACATCTCCCTTGCAGAACTGTAGAATGCCTTCTAGCCGGCTACGCCTATAGCTTGGAAAAATCTTGGTAAGAATATCAAGAGGATCCCTTGGTCTTGAGGACACTGTGGGAAGGTGAGATTGGGGAGCAGAGTCTTTGGCCCATTCACTTTCATTTCCTGACTCCAGATCTGAAGATGACAAGGACCTGGGGCTCTCATCACCTCCTGACTGCTCCCCAGAGTGGGGAGACAGGATGTCACCATCCTTGGTTGAGCTTTCTGAAACAGATAACATTTTCTGCTTTCCAACGACACCGTTTGACTTGGGAGATGATCCTAGGGAGAGCTGATGGCGTTTGGACACAGCTTCTTCTTGTCTACTCTGGTATGAGCCACGTGTATTTGATTTTTGCTCTGGAAAATAAGAAAAAATATATTAGAATCAAATAGAGGAAAAAGGTTTCACAGCCTAGTATTGTTCACTAAAAAAAAAATGATGCTTGAGAATCATTTTTTCTCTCACAGTAATTATTCACTCCAGGAGATTATAATGAGTAACTCAATTATAAAAGTATCTTCTGATACTTCTCGGAAAATGAAACTGTTGGAAAAACATAAACATGCTATTTCTGATGTCATCCCGGCCTCACAAAGTCATACAGTATTAGAAGTAAAGCAATAATTTAGAAATCACAATGTCATTGCTGTGATGTGCCATCAACCTGACTATGACTCATAATGACTCTATGTACAATAGCTCTGAAACCTGCTCTGTCCTGATCCAATCTCGCTGTCCCTGACACACTGATACTCATTACCCTAGTTACGGTGTCAATCCATCCCATCTGGGTTTTCCTCTCCTTAGCTCTCCCTCATCCCTTCCAAACATGATATCCTTCTCCAAAGACTGGTCCCTGTTGGCAACATGCCCAAAGTACATAGGACAGGGTCTCAAAATCTTTGACTCCAAGGAGCAACTTGGTTTGACCCTCTTCAGGACAAACCTGTTAGTTCTCTTGGCAGTCCATGGTATGATCAACACTCTTCACAATGTTAGAGTCTATCATGCCCCCTAAACTATTTACCTAACATGCTTGCATGCTGTTTGTCTCATTTTTCCAATTTTGGGGATTTTCCTGATTGTTATTCAAGTTTTGTTGTTGTTATTAAGTACCACTTAAAAGATTTTTCAACTCACAAAGCCACTGTGTGTGAGAGGGCAGAAGTGTCCCACAGATCTTCTAGGCTGTAATCTTTAAAAGAGCAGATCATTGGATCTTTCTCCTGAGAAGTCACTGAATGGGACTGAACCATTCACTTTACAGTCAGAAGGTAGTGTTTACCTGCTGTGCTACCAGCACTCCTCTTTGCCACGAATACACTGTATAAAGAGAACCGTGTGCCTTCGAGATTACAGCACAGCTTCTTGCCACGAGACCACCAGAGCACCCTAAATAAAACTGCCCCATTTAGATACCCAATCAAATGAAACAATAAAATGAATGAAGATAACCTCAGTCTCATTTCTGTGGAGTCAGAACAGACTTACAGTTGACCCTCCAGTGGGTTTTGGAGAGTCTATAAGTCACAGCATCTTTCTCCTTGGGAGTCACTATAGGATTTGAACAATCGGAGAAGACATCACCTTTGGGTTAGCAGTGCAACCCTCTACCCTCTAGACCACCAGTGGACCCTGTAATAAAATCTGCAGCAACTCTAGTCACTAATGCTAAATTTAAACAACTAGTATCTTGGATTTCCATTTCAAGTTCACATATATGGATGTTGCTGTTATATAGATATTTAAACAAGCAAAGCTCTCACTCATTGCCTCCCAGATGGCAGACTGCCCATCTTTCTTCCAAGGAAGTGCTAGTAGATTTAAACCATAAGAGACATAACCTTTGAGCTAACAGGGCAACTCTCTACAAACTGTGTCACCTGAGTCCCAGTCTTCGGGTTCTCGTTTCACTTCGTTAGCAAACTCATCTGACGTTTGTTGTTTCTGTGAACCACTGAGTTGGAAAACCTACAAGAGCTGACCCTGCAGGGGGTTTTCAGAAGCGATTAATCATACAGAAGGTGACTGCTCATCCTTCTCCTACAGAGCAGCTAGTGGATTTGAACCACAAGCCTTCAGGATTGCAGTGCAGCGTCTACCCTCTAGGGCATCAGAGTTCCCTTGCTGTTGTGTGCCACTGAGTTGGAGCAGACCCATGGCTGACCTTCCAGTGGATTTTCAAAGGCAGTTAATCTCACAGGAGGAGGCCCATCCTTCTCCTGAAGAGCAGCTGGTGGCCCTGAACTGGGAACTGCGAACTGCGAACTGCGAACTGCATGCCTTCAGGATTGGAGCGCAGCTTGACACTACGACACCAGAGCTCCCTAAGTTAATTTTTATGAAATTCCACTTATCCTTTTTGCCTTTTGTTGCCTCTGGCTTAGACATCATGTCCATACACCCTTTGCAAGAACAGTAGCACAACCTGAAAAATAAAATAAAATGTAAAACTGACTGAATATGGCGTATCTTTGGTTATATGTATTTTCACCAAGACAAACAAAGAAACGAATCACAAAAATAAATTTAAATTGCCTACAGTGATTTAGGGAGCTCTGGTGGCATAGTGGTATGAAACTGCCCTGCAGATGCAAGGGTACACGATTCAAATCCAGCTCCTCCATGGGAGAAAAATGGACAATCTCCTTCTGTGTGATTTACTGCCTCTGAGGCCTGCTGGAGGGTCAGCTGTGAGTGGGTTCTGACATGACAGCACACAACTACAACAAAGTGATTTAAAACTGCAATAGGCAATATTCCTATGTTTTCTCAAAGGGCAGTCCCTAATTTATAAAGAAATGTCTATAGTTTATTGTTCAAGTAAGGGAACTGTTTGTGGTTCAGCACTGTCAAAATGTTTCAAACACAGGATTTTTTAAAAAAGATGCTGTTACTGCCAAATTATTAGGATTGTATAGCATTTTCAACTTTTTATCACAAACAGATTCATCTTGGAGAGGATTAAACCAAGCTGCTCCTTGGAGGCAAGGATTCTGGGGCTTCGTCTGACATACTTTGGACATGTTGCCAGGAAGGACGGGTCCTTGGAGAGGGACATCATGCTTGGGAGGGTGGAGGGACAGCGCAGGAGGGGAAGACCCTCTATGAGATGGACTGATTCGGTGACTGGGGTAATCGGGACGGGTGTGTCAAAGCAGTGCGGTTGGCGCATGACTGGGGTAATCGGGATGGGTGTGTCAGAGGCGGTGCGGTTGGCGCAGGGCATAGGGTCGCTGCGGCACATAACAACAACCAACAACAACAACAATGTCCTTTTAATGAGCAGGCTATCAAGTGGGGACAAAGATGCATGGAATGGTCTCTGTCTTCCCTTTTACTTACAAGCATGCCCATGAGCATATGATATTGCAACATAATCTCTGACGCCAATTTATACATTAAAAATAACTCTCTAGGTTCCGAATTCCATGAAATCCTGATTGTATTAAGACTATTTAGAAAATAAATTTACTTTCAAATATAGTATCATTAACGTCAGCTCTCTGAACTTCTTGATTTCTTGAACTTTTTTATTTTTTCAGTTGCCTTTATGTTATTGCTTTATAATACTGTTTTTGCATACATGTAACTGTCCTTCTTTTGAATAGTAGACTCTCTGTGTCTTCAGCCCTGGATGATTAGTCTTTATCTAATTAAAAAGTAAATTAAAATGGACAACCATTCATGGATATTGTGTAGTTGGGAAAAGCTATTCAAGTAGACTTTTAAAAAGTAGATTTTTAAAAAATGTGGACTGCTTTTTATAGGTTGCTATCTGAAGCAAAGGATAAAATAAATTCTAGAAAGAACTCTTTAGCTGCCAAAAAATATAAAAGCAAACTCTTGTATAAATCATTCTCTCTAAGAGGATCAGTGATATTTTTCTTTTAATTTCATTTGAGGAATTCTAACTTCTCTTTCAAAGGAATTTTACTTACCAACTTCATTCCTCAGCTTCTCCAATCTTTCATAAGCAAGGTTTAAGGTCTTAGGTCTTTTCCTTATTTAAAGGAACTAGACCATGTTCTAAAGGTTGGCATTGTTGTTGTGTACCATCGAGTTGGAAGCCACACATAGTGACCCTCCAGCAGGTGTTCGGAGGCAATAAAGCACACCAGAGGAGACTGTCCAAAGTTACATGTTTAATTAAAGTACAGATCATCCTTTTCAAAAGCACAGGCTTTATCTATCGACATCTGCAAATTTTGTTCTTCAAACAAGTTTTCTAACTCAAAGTGCACCTCCTCATACAATTCCGTATGATATTATCTGTCTTGAACTTCTACATATAGACTGAAATGGTATACCTATTGCTAGTAGACCGTGCAAAAATATGGGAAATTGGTTAAAATTAAGTGGGATATACATTACCACCAAGTTAGCTTGGAAATTCTTTGTGGGGAAGGAAGGGGGGATATTTTTTTTTTCTTTTAACCTAGTATTCAAGGCTATTTTTCCAGTACAACACAGGGATGACAGAGACAGAGTGAAATAATAAATAATAAGGGAGGGGGAAAATCAAAACTCCTTGGACAGGAAAGCCCCAAGATTGCTCTCTGAAATTCTTAGAAACACTTCCAAAAATCTAGAAAAATCTGACTTTTTCCATTTGGGAAAGTGTTCCATTTTTAAATAGCTTTCCACACTTTTGGAGAAAATGAGGCGGTGCTGAATCATCGAAACTGATGCAGAAGAAAGACCTTAGATTTCAGTCTTCTCTGGCCTTGAGATGTTGTGCCCCTGCATGCGTTGGAGTCCATTTTCCACTGAATGCCCCACTTAACAGAAGAGAACTGTTCCACAGGGGTTTTTTTTCAAGGCTGTATTCTTTAGGGAAAGAAATGTCAGGTCTTTGTCTTGTTCAGAATCAATGGGGGCTGGAATCACTCACCTTTCTGTTGGTGGAATACTTAACCTTTGCGTCAGGAGCCTCCTTTTCTAGTTCCCCACAGCTGGAGCTCCCACAGCTGGAGCTTGAGATTGCTGGGAAGTTAGAGGGGTACACTCCCATCCATCACTGAGTTTCCCGGGCCCAAAGGATCAACATTGGCTTCCTACCGGAAAGCAGGCTGCAGAAGGAGCTCAAAGCCAGCCTCTCACACTCAGTGCAATGCCCCTCAAGGTGCGCTTGAAGTTGGACTCAGGCAGAGAATTTTAGACCAGCTTTTCTGTAACTTACTCGCTCGAGCTTCCCCTCACTGCCTCTCGCCCATCACTTCAGACAGCACGCAGCACGCCCTCGCGGAATGAGGGTTAACGCTAACCAGACGCCTTAATTCACGTGCTGCTTTTTTTTTTTTTAAAGTAGTGAGTCTTGCTCCCCTCCAGCTGCTTGTTTCAAAGAGTTTTTTTTCCGGAGCAACCTGGTGTTTGTACGAAGAGCAAAGACCAACTCACCTTGTTTCTCGTCGGGACAGTCCGACTGGAAGACCTCAAAGGCGGGGTTTGCGATGCCACCCGCCGGCCTCAGGGCCCCCAGGCCCAGCGCAGCCACGGCCGGAGGGTCCTCAGCCGCGTCGCCGCCTCGGAGCGCACGCC